CGCCCCCTCCCCCGGGGCCCGCCCCTCGCCCCGCCCCGTCCGGGTTCCCCCTCGGCAGAGGAGGGTCCGCAGTGCCCACCTCCGGGGCGCTGTCCAGCCGGCTTCCCGGCCGGCCACGGGCAGAGGCCAGCCGCCGAGCTGCTTGGCTTCTCCGGGCGGTCTCCTACACTGGACGGCAAGCTCACGGAAGGCACGCTCGGCGTTGCTCTCCACCCTTCCTCGGGGACGCGTCTGGCACCTGGAAGACAGGAGGGACGCCCTGAGGCTGCGGGCACCCGGGCCCAATGTGTGCGGCTCTATGCCTCACAGTTGCCAGCGTCTGGGGCGGAGAAGCAGCGCGCACTGGTGGCAGTCTGCAGGGCCTGCGCCGAGACCCAAGGGCGAAGGAAGGGGTCCTGGTGAGTCCCCCAAAGGAAGGAAGGGCCTAGGTCTGCTCGCTTGGAGAGCAGAGGAGAGCCGGCAGCTCCGAGGGGCGAGCAGCGGGAGGGCTGGAGTGGAGATGGCGCGGCCATGGTGGGAAGTGGACAGTACATGGGACTGGGACGTGCAGGGCAGGGGCAGGCAGGAGCCCGGAGCCCCGGGGCGCTGTAGGTGTGAGCCCGGGAGGGCAGTTCTGTTCAGGGTGTTCTCATACTGCCATCCCCCTGGGGGCGCAATCCTCCCCTCCACCTGCACAGGTGTGAAACAGTAGGCCCAAGCATGTGTGGCAGCTAATGGGATAGAGTGATGACAACTTCTTAGCCACAGCCAAACACCCCGAGGTGTTTCACAAAACGTGAAAATAATGTACATGTCTATCAAAAAGACAAACCAAACTCACTGCCATCCAGTCAGTTCTGAGTTTCCAAGGCTGTCAATCTCTTCAAAAGCAGCCTGCCTCATCTTCTGCAGAGCAGATGGCAGATTTGAACCACTGACCTAGTTACCAGCCAAATACCTAAACACTACACCACCTGGGCTCCTTAAATGTCTATCAAAGGGGTCTCATAGACTACAGTATGTTCACACAATGGAATCGTTAGGCATCTGCTAAAAAGGAAAACGAGAAGCTTTCTGTGTACATTATGGACAGATCTCTAAGAACTGTTTGCTCAGTAAAAGGTATAAAAGTATCTATGTCTGTGCTACCTTGTGTGGAAAAAGGAAAAAGGATATACATATATATTTGCATAAGAAACACAAAAAATACATAGGTAGACAGGCAAAACGATCAGGTAAGGCTAGGCCAAAGGGTCTAAACCCACGACCATATGTAAGTCTGGCAGATACTTCCACATACTTATTTGTATATACCATCAGAATGGCCATACCCATAATGAGCTAATGGGATAGAGTGATGACAACTTCTTAGCCACAGCCAAACACCCCGAGGAAACATGTCACTGGGCCCATGGTCTCAGGGGACATCAAGCTCACCTGGCATAACGTACTACACAAAAACATTGTTCTACTTCCAACTTTGGGGAGTAGCAGTGACTGGGGTC